AAATCTTAAACTTACCTTCACTTAAGGCCAACCAAAAACCGACAGCGTAGTGTTCACTGTTGGGTGGGTGGTACCCCCAAACGAGTAGGTACTCAAGTTTGGTTCTTGGATCCCGTACGTACGTTTTAACCCTAGCCACCGGGCATCATACCCGCAAGGCCTAACTTATATAGGTATATCTTAGAGTTCTTCTAGATACCTTTCAAATCAACATTAATATGGGTATATCTTAGAGGTCTTCTAGATACCCTTAACAATACATATTATTTTCACAAGCATCAATATATTCATTATGATTTAATCATTCATAATTTCCATTTTTAATCAGAACAATTATTAAGATTTAATCATCATAATCATCAACCAATAATTATTACCATAATCATCAATCAACATAATATTCAATAACAATTAGCGGCCTAGCTTCGAGTGTTAACACCCGAACTTACTGTCATGCATCAGATAACATTCTTATTTGTTAAAAACATCATTTTTATTGTGGTAAATTATTTTTATAATGATCATAATCAATTGGTATCAAAAATAGGATTTTAGAACTCAAAAATAGCATTTTCAGACAAATTTTCGGATCAGAACTTCGGGGGATCGATCCAGCCCTCTGGATCGATCCATATATAGAGAAATTATGCCCAGGTGATCGATCCACCCATTTGGATCGATCTAGACAGCCTGGTTTTTGGTTACTGTTCATCTTCTTCTTCGTTCGGGTCAAATTCCGAAAATACCGTTTTTAGTTATCGAACTTCAACGAAATTATATAGAGATGTTCTCCAAGGTTCATAAATCATTTTGGCATCATTAATTCATAGTTTCAACATCAATTTCATGGTTTATGATTCTTGGTTCTTCAAGCATGTCAAACACAAAACTCAATCAAACGACCGTTTATGAACGTAGAAACGATCTATACGAACATTCGAGTCACTAGATATATCAACGGGCTTACTTTGAAGCGTAAGGAAGGTTTTGACGATTTTCCGGCGAAACTTCCGGCGACTCTATCTCACTGCTCCGGCGACCTCACACAAAGATGACAGCACCACTGCGTTCTACACACTCAAAGCTAACTCTCAGAAGTAATTTGGCAAGAAATGGTGAAGAATTGGGTAGGAAGAGATGGTCCTTATATAGCCTTAGTGAAGAGGAAGCAGACACGGTGATGACCTCCTTTCAACTGTTTCGGCGGCTGAGTGGAGTGGGCTGCTATCTTCTCCGATTCTAAACGTAAGTCCCTGATTGGGACTAAATTGGTCCCAGTCTAGGTATACTTTTTGGTCCAACTTTCTCCGAATTGAAATCTGTTTGCACCGTTGCAATCGTGCAATTAAACTCTATCTAACGATATAATTTTTACATTTATTTGTTATACTTTTTCCGATATCAATTTTTACATTTATTTGCACCGTTGCGATCGTGCAATTAAACTCTATCGAGTCAAAATTGGTTTAATTGACCTTTATTCAAAAAGGTTCTCACATTTAATTCATATTATTTATTTCCATGATTTATTTCAATAAATCATTTCAAAGTTCACATTACAAACAATTTCTTCATTTCTTCTTAATTTGGGTCTGTACTCAGGTTCCCAATCAAGATCACACAATAAGTCAATAGGTTGGATTTATCTCTATGACATTTAACCCAATTATGTTTATTGGACATCAATATATATTTTATTTCGGCCAAAGCCCAATAATAATTTATTTTAATCAAAACAAATTTTGTTTAATTGAATATTTAATTCAATAAATTTTAGGGTATATTTTGGGGCGTTACATTTCTCCCCCCCTTAAAGAAATTTCGTCCTCGAAATTCTTCTAAGGCTCAACGTTCAACATTTTGTTGTGATCGCACTTAATCATAATCGCGTCATGTTCATTCAGTTAAATCATAATCACGTCATTATCCACATGGATAGTTATTCTCAAACTGTCGATGTTACGAAACTCGTTCTTTCTTCAAGAGATTAACAATCTTTGATTAAGCAAGACATTCAGTGATCCTTCAATATCAACAACTAAAGTTCCTTTGTGATGTATAGGGTTATATACTTGCCATACTTGCACAAAACTTCGTTCAGTCTCAATTCCTTGTTGTACCACGTTGATTAACAATATTCTTCCTCTGATTGAAGGTTCTTCAGTAGCATTTGTAATTTCAAGTTCGCGGTAGATGTAGTGGAAGATTTGGAGGTTGTTTAATTCATACATCATAACGTAACTTTCTCAAGTTACTTGAGTTATCTTCATATCGTTCACATAATTCAACAATAATTCGTAAGTACATCAATGGCGTTTAGTGGTCCAAGATTTTCAAGATATGGGATTTATCATCATTCACGAGGGAGTACTGTCGATTAGTTGTACAGTAGTTCGCTATCATCGATTCATATTATCGTTTTAATGAGTCTTCGTATTAATAGGTGATGACGTTCGAGTAGTGTCTCATGTATGACTTGTTGTATTCAAATTTCTTTCATTAATTTGAAAACATATCTAGATATGATAGCGATAGGTTCGATTGTAACACTATTGTTGATCTTGTTTCAAGGGAAGAAGAGAATATCTTCAGTACGCGATTCAATTCATGAATTCATAGAGTGAGAGATCTTTACAAGCTCTAACACCAATATCGCATATAGGTTCGGGATTTTCGCTTAGATGATTCAGCTTGTTCTTGTGACGTCATTTCTTCTCTGGTTGTCGCACATACATTTCCTTGCTAGGATTCTAACAATATCATCGATAATAATCTTCAGAGATAGCGTAATCGTATTGATCGTTTTGTAGTCCACAAAGAGAGGTTTAACATAATGTTTAAGTCAGGGTAGTTTTACTATTGTGATCGAGTCACGTATTCAATAGGGTATAGTTTCCAAAGATCGATATCATGGTATCACCGAGTATTGTTTTGGTTCCAATGAAGAATCATGGTTTTAGTATTTTGATACAAAGAATGGAATTCAATCTTTTCAAGATTGATCAAGCGAGATGTTTTCAAGGGTGTAGTTAACACAACAAGTTTGAGTATTTCAAGGATATGAGTCACAAGATACAAAGATAGCGTTTGCGAATTATCGTTACTAATTGTAGGTTTTCTTCCTTCAATGTTTCACTCTTTGGAATTTACTCATGAGGTCGTTGTCTTAGGAAATCGCAGTTTTGATGGTAACACCCTAACCCGCATAACCCGAATTAACGAGTTAGCGAGTCGGGTTGTCACTAATTTGGTATTCACATGCACAACATTTTAAAAACATTTAGAAATAAAACAAACATCCACATTTATTTAAAAAAAACAATAAATCGTTTAATCAGAGTAAATAACTGAAACGTTGCGGAAGCCTTTAAAAAACAACATTCAACATTCTGGTAATTTAAATAAACAAATCCAACAAACTTATTTAGTTTAAATAAAACAGCTTCGGTCATCCACCAGCGTCACGCTTCACTGTCCTCCAGGCTGCTCCTCATCAAATCCTTGATTCCTACCTGTAAAAATAGGGAGAGTGGAAGTATCTAACACTAAAACTAACTCATAGACTAGCACCCACTAATATATAATCAAACAATATCAGAAGAATTAGCAAATATCGTTATCCAACAGTACCACTAATTACCCTTTTAATTTACTTTAGTTCTTATGCATACTTATTCCATCTGTCTGCTAATATAATTCAATTCATACTTACAGGAGTATGGAATCCACGCTCTCACCCAAACCCACACTCATAACTCCAAAGCTCTCGCAATGGAGGGGGTTGAGGCCCCCGCTGGCTCGCCAGGGGTCAATGACCACCGTGCGCACGTTTTTAACCCTCGAGACCACCGGATGAACGACGCACCCGCGTGACCTTATTCTCTAGTTTAGTCCAATTTGTGATTCCCAATATCTAATTCAACCCAAATCCACCTAATACTATTAAGAGGTCAGTTTCATAATTTCCTACATAACTTATAAGTAGCCACCAATTCATTAGTTAGCACCTTTGGTTTAATTTGTAGTAATTGCCTACCTTTATGCTCAAATTATAAGAAACGACAGAATTGCAACTGTTAACAATTCTAGGCGTCAAATTATAATTTATTAAAACTTAATCTTTGAGTTCTCATTGGCTTTCTTCTTCGACGCAACACCTTCTGTGATGCACGAGTACAGCAGCGGCATTATCTGCGGTGAATTCCGTTTTAGCAGAGAGGAAAGACGAGCAGCGGCTTGACGGAAATCTCCAAGTCCCAGCGAACAGTCGCTTCAAGTTCCAACGACAACACCAGTGACCAAACAGCCCCCCCGGTGGTGGGAACCTCTCTGCCGGTGTTCCGAGTTCCGGCGGCCAACAGAGGAGCAGGGCAGGAAACAGAATAGAACAGAAAAAGAAAGAACATAACAGAGACCGAACGGAAAAACGTCTCCTCCTTGTTAGGTTAGGGTTAAAGGCAAAAACCATTGCTAATTTCGAATCCAAACACAATTAATCACACAATCCGATAACCATAATCACAAATTCAACGTCAATTGAACGAGAATATATCAACGAATCCTAATCTAAGAATCAATTTTAACCAGAGATACATCACTCACCTCAATCGACAAATTAAACTCCGGCCAATCCTTGCAGAACTCCGGCGACAACTCTGGCGAAACTCCTGGTGTGCTCGGTTCCGTTACGAAGCAGAAGGAGAAACGGAAGATGATTCTAACGAAGGGACTACTTCTATTTATAATGGGTTTAAGCTCCAATTCTATTTATTGTTATTAACGAAGTATAATAGGGAGTATTATATTATACAATTCTTTATATTTATATATTGAATTGAAATTTCTATTTTACTCATCACGGTTTACACAAAAGTTTAAAATTAACAAACTATATATCATTGGTCACCATTTTATGTGATCTACCCGAAAACCTAATTTTTAACTAAAATGGTCAACTTTACAAATAATTCATATTTTGAAGTCAATAAATAAAATATTCATTTTTATTAAAATAACGGCTAACTACTAGGCCGGTTTTCAGGGCGTTACATTTCTCTCCCCCTTAAAAGAATTTCGTCCTCGAAATTCCTTTGCATCGTTGTCGCTGAAGAAGACAAAGACATTGATTTTGCGCGGATTTCTTGGCGTCGTAGGAAATCGTTGTCACTCTTTTTCGCAACCATACATGTAATCAAGTAGGAAAGGTACGGTCTCAACATGTAGTTAAGTTAGGACCTCATAATGTTGGTTATACCTACACTGCATATAAGAACGTACCATAGTCGACGTCTTGATTAGGATCAATTCTTCCCTGCATGGCGTAAGTCCTGGCTGGAGCTCTAGCTTGTTGTTGTGCAGCAGGTTGTCGTGGTCTTTGTGGACGTTGAGATGCAGCAGGCGTACGCTCGCTCTGCGCAGGTTTAGTGGTAGGCGTATGACTCGATAACGGTGCAGTAGAGAATAGAAAACAAGGATTGGTCGGGCAATTCATTCGAAAGTGGCCAGACCACCGCATCCCATACACAACCCCAGCTTCTTCCAGCATTCACCTAAGTGATGACGATTGCAATCGGAACACAATGGATACATTGGTTGCTTGCTCTTGCTCGTAGACGCTACGGATTGAGTGGGTAATGAGTTGGCCTTCTTCGAGAGTTGAAGCTCAGATCCACTTGGAGGCCTCTTTTTCGGAAGGGTCTTACTCGTGCTAGCTGCATGCGTAGCTGTCCCAGCTGATTGTTGGTTGTTCTTCTGGCTCACGCCTTCTGATATACCCCCGACCACCAACAATGATCCTCGAGTCCTTAAACAAATCTGTGGAATAATGTCCAAGTGTTTTAATCCTTTTTGGAATTAATACATCACCCATAAACCATACAACCCGACCCTGGTCCTGCTGGACCTTCCCCCACCTTGATGGCCGAATTTACCACCCAAAACCACCCCTCCCAAATATCCAAATCAAACCCAAGTCCCTTCCTTTTTTTACCCTGGCCGAACCCACACACCCCCACAACACCTCATCACACTTTAAACCACATGCTAACTCCACAAACCTTTTTTTCCCCTGGAATGACCGAAAACTAAGAGCCAAAACCCAACCCATTATTTCTCTAGTGTGTACTAGCAGTGGTCCCCTTGTGTTCCCCAATCAAGCTGAATAAAAGGCCAGGAATAATTCAGCATGTACTGGCTCATAATTTATCAAGAAAACCCAACTCATGAGAAGCCAAAACCTGCCATATTCCCCTTTCTTGTTCCCCACCTGGACCGTGCATAATCCCCACCAAAACCCACCATAAAAGAATCCCCATTTCCAACAAATGAGTGAGTCTCATTTTCCAACCCTTCACCAGGCCGAAACATCCTTCCCCACAACCTCACCCTTCTTCCTTGTTTTCATTCCATTAAAATAAGTGGACATTATTCCCCAAATAAGTGAATGTACTAGGAAGCTTCCCCCCTCCCCCTGATGTGCTTATATATTTCGGCCTTAGGCCTTTGTATAAGGCAGATTGTAATTTCACATTTTCAGTAGTAATACACTTGTGTGTGTTCTATTTTAAATTCCTATTTCTATATCTTAAGAGTGGTTCTCTTAGGTGTGGGTTATAGGTTCTAGTTATTTTAATAAGTATGTAATATCTTATTTAAATACTAGACTCAACCCCAAGTAAAAGATAAGAGTGTGTAATATCTCTTAACACCTACTTAGTTTATTTCCCCTCTAGAAAAAACAACTAAAATAAATACTTCCCCCCCCCCCCTCTCTCTATTTTCGGCCTACACCCAAGAATCCATCCCCTTCTGATTCTCTCCTCTCCTCCCTAACCACAATCACATTGAACTTCCCCCCCTCTGATTCCATACGTTCCAGCCCCAAAACACCCACAAAAACAGCCTTACCCTCTCATCCTTTTCCCCTTGAAGTTGAGCCTAACATTTGGTATCAGAGCTTTGTGTTGCCCATCCCTCAAGGACCATTCACATATCTCTGAAAGTAAG